CAGGGCTGCCATGTGGCTTTGGCTGTCCTTAAGGGTGGAGCCATGAGCAGTAGGCTGCAGGCCAGCATTTCCCTCAGAGCCATCTCGAAGGAACGGCCGTGGACAGACTCCTTTATGGACCGGATCTCTCTGTTTCATGGAAAGCAACATCAGACGTGGCCTCAAGCCTCATTGTCATGGGAGCAGTCAGAGTGGGTTCCGAAGGGTCCTAGGAGGCCAGCAAGGCCGCCAGGCTATGCCAGGTCTCAGGAAAATGCAAAACACTTCAGCCTGGCAAAGGGCTCTGAGGATTGCTAGCCTTTCCTCTATTCATTTAGAAATGTTTAAAACTCTATGAACTGAACTTAGCTGGAAATCTCATGGAAGCCAGGCTTATGAGACTGGAAAGCCAAGCCAGTTTCTCAGCAGCTTCCCTTTGTGGTTCTGTATGGCTCTGCAGAAAACCAGAAAAACATTTGGGGCAAGAAGTTGTGACTCTCTGAGGTCACATGGGAGCAGTCAGTAAAAGCCACACCCAGTTAGCACAAAGTGTCCCATCCCTTGGAAGCTGGGCCTGCCTCACTCTTGCTTCTACCTTCTCCATGTATTCTCTACTCTCCCAAGCTGGTCCTCCCTTGGACCTTGGGCAAGCCACATGAATCCCTTCCCGTATCTCTGCCTCCTCTCAGAATACCCTTCTGTAGCAACTTTGTCTAAAGTCTTCACGTCTTACATGGCCCAGTTGGAATATCTTCATTTCTTCATTTTACCCTAATGTGTTTTTTTTTTCTCTTAACTCCTTACATCTTATTCCAAAGTTTGCCTTTGTTTTTTGTCTCTAAAAATCAGACCACTCAGTGGTCAGAAGCCATCTCGTGTGCATCTCCTCCCTGCATCTGGCGTAAAACTGGATGACAGGAGGCATTCCACCTGCCATCTTAGGCCATTGGCTCAGCCTGGTGCCAGGTCTCATGGTTCCTGATGCCATGGCTAGCCCCTGGCATCGGGTTTTCTTTCTTCCCTGAGTGGCTCTTTCTTTGGTAGGGGACGTCCCACCTGTTCAACAGGGCAAGTCGTAGGTTTGGGAATGAGATCATCAAAGGTTTCATAGACTGTGGAAGAGTCCCAACAGGAAGTTGTGATTGAGAGTCCCAGGGAAAATGAGAGACAAAAGATACAGGCAAGATTGGGAAACAAAAAAGCAAAACAAATTCCAGGTAGATACAAAGCTTAAACATTTTTAAAAATGAAACTGTAAAGTCCTATAAGAAAATATGGGTGATTTAATATACATATAAAATCTTAGAGAAGAGTTGAACTTTGTAAGCATGACATAAGACCTAGAAGACATGAAAATTTTAGTATATTTGCATAAAATGAAACGTTTCTGAATTACAAAAATATTATTAAAGTTCAAAAATAAATGACAAACTCTAAAAACATTTTTGCAACACATGTAACAAGGGGCAGATTTCCTTAATGTACGAAGAGCTCCTACAAATCAGTATGGAAAAGACCAACAACAGAATTTGAACACAGTTCATAGAAAGGAAAATTCAGGTGTCTTTTTTGAAGGGAATGGTCAACCTCACTTTTAATATAGTTGCAGTTTAAAGCAGTGAAATGCTACTGACTGGGCACAGTGGCTCACACCTATAATCCCAGCACTTTGGGAGGCCAAGGCAAGAGGATTGTCAGAGGCCAAGGCAAGAGGATTGTCAGAGCCCAGGAGTTTGCAACCACCTTGGGCAATATGGTGAGACTTCATCTCTACAATAAAATCAAAAAATTAGCTGGGTGTGGTGACATGCCTATAGTCCCAGCTACTTGGAAGGCTGAGACTGAAGAATGACTCAAGCCCAGCAGATCAAGGATGCAGTGGCTGTGGTTGTGCCACTGCACTCCAGCCTGGGCTACAGAGTGAGACTCCTACAAAAATAAAAAATAAACAAGCCTGGCGCAGTGGCTCAAACCTGTAATCCCAGCACTTTGGGGGGCCAAGGCAAGAGGATCGCCTGAGCCCTGGGGTTCAAGACCAGCCTGGGCAACTTGGTGAGACCTTGTCTCTTACAATAAAGGCGTGTAAAGTCTCTACAATAAAGGCGTGTAAAGTCTCTACAATAAAGGCATGGTAGCACGTGCCTATAGTTGCAACTACTTGGAAGGCTGAGGTGGGAGGATCACCTGAGCCCAGCAGGTTGACACTGCAGTGGCCATGAGCGTGCCACTGTTCTCCAGCCTGAGCGACAGAGTGAGACCCCAAATAAAAAATAATGAGATACTGTTTTTTCACTTATCATCTTGGCATAGATCAAAAAGTTGTAATGTGTTGTGTTGGCCAGGTTGTGGGGAAACAGGAATTCTTTTTTTCTTTTTTTTTCTTTTTGAGTTGGAGTCTCACTCTGTTGCCCAGACTGGAGTACAGTGGCTGCTCCCGGCCACCGCAGCCTCGACCTGCTGGGCTCCGGCAATCCTTCCGCCTCAGCCTTCTGAGTAGCTGGAATTACAGGCATGTGCTACCATGCTCAGCTGATTTTTGATTTATTGTAGAGATGAGGTCTCACCAAGTTGCCCAGGCGGGTCTTGAACCCACAGGCTCAGGCAAGAAACAGGAATTCTTAAACCTGTTAGTAAAATGTAAATTGGTTCAGCCTCTTTGGAGAGTATTTTGTTAAATGAAAAAAAATCAAATGTGCGAATACCTTGATCCAGCAATTCAGGTTCTAGGAATTTTGCCTCTGAATATACATCCATATGCACACAACTGATGCATAAATATAGTTATTACAGCAGTGTGTTTTCAACAGTCTGGATTGTGTCAAGAGGGGGCAGATACATCCATGAAGTGGAGCCATTTATGCTCAGTAAGAAAACGAGGCAAATCTCTATGTCCCTAACAGAATGATGCCCAAAATATATCAGTGAAAAGGAATCATGCTCAGAACTTAGTATATAGTGTGTCACCATTTTTGTAAAAATAAGTAGGGGATAGTACAGACAGATGCCTGCAAATGAGTAGAGTGAGCCTAGAGGGATACACCAGGAAGCAGTAATAGCAGAACATGGACGGGGTAGGGTTGCGGGAAGGGGACTTCATTCTCACTGCATGGTCTTTTTCATACTGATTTGTAGGAACTCTTTGCTTATTAAGGAAATCTGTCCCTTGTTGCAAATATGTTTTTACAGTGTTATTTGTCTTTGAACGTTAATAATAATTTTTTTTCAGGCCGGGCTCGGTGGCTCAGCCTGTAATCCCAGCACTTTGGGAGGCCAAGGTGAGTGGATTGCCTGAGTCCATGGGTTTGAGACCCACTTGGGCAACTTGACGAGACCTCATCTCTACAATAAATCAAAAATTAGCTGGGCGTGGTAGCGCGTGCCTGTAGTTCCAGCTACTTGGAAAGCTGAGATGGAAGGATCACTGGAGCCCAGGAGGTCGAGGCTGAAGTGGCTGGGAGTGGCCACTGCACTCCAGTCTGAGTGACAGAGTGAGACTCCAACTCAAAAATAGATAAATTAATAATAATAATAATAGATAAATAGATTAATAATAATAGTTTTTTTACAATTCAGAGATGTTTAGTTTTATGAAAATATATTAATATTTTAATGTCTTCTGGGTCTTACGTCATGCTTACAAAGTCCAACTCTTCTCTAAGATTTTATATGTATATTAATTCACCCATGTTTTCTTGCAGGATTTTGCAGTTTCATTTTTTAAATGTTTAAACTTTGTACCTACTTGGAATTTGTTCCTCTGCACTGCTTGAATTATTTTTATACTGTGTGCACGTGTTATCTAATTGTTAAAACTATGGTTAAAAACAGCCAGGTGTGAAATTAGGCCAGACCTGAGGCCTGCTTAAAAACCAGTGGTTTCAGTGGGGGAGGAGTCAAAGAGCTATCAGACCCTGTAAGTGAAGCCAGTCCGTGGGGCTGAGACAGAGCGGGTCAGCAAAAAAAAGAGGCCTAACTCAAGGCAGTTCGCTTCACATCGGAAGTGTCTGATACATGCTTTTCATGTTAGAGCATATGCCAGCCTCAGGATATAGGCAGAAGGGGGAATAAACTTAGGGAAAGGGCGAAACTGTCAATTTACAGAGAATGAGAAGGGATGGTCTAGAGGTCAAGCCAAATGGAAATTCATCAGCCAGAACACTTGGGCCAGAGTCAACGCCACCCCTTCATCTTCTCTTGGGAGTGGAGATGGGCAGAGAATGAACCTTCTGGAGCATCCACCATGGTCAGGCCCTGAGGGGGGCATTTTAAGTTTACGGTGCCACATCGCAACACCCACAGGAACTCACAGTGAAGTGTCTTAGTCCACTTTCTGCTGCCATAGCAGACTGCCATGGACTGGCTAATTTGTTTAAAAGAAGAAGAAGAAGCATATTCAGCTCACGGTTTGGGGGCCTGGAAAATCCAAGAGCATCTGGTGAGGGTCATGTCATGGTGGAAGAGCGGAAGGCAGAAGCGAGCATGAAGCGAGCTTGCAGATGGAGAGGAAATCTGCCCAAGCTTGTTTTTACAACAAACTCAGTCTCAAAGTAACCAACCCACTGCTGTGGTAACAGCATTCATCCCTTCATGAGGGCTCCTGTATTCTGTTCTTTACCTTTACTAAGCAAGTCTGATTTTTATGACCAATGGTTTTTTCCCCCCAAATGTCTCCACCTAAGAGGAAAGCAACAGAATATCATCTCCCCTCCCTCTGCCCCACTTTGTTTTCGACTAACTGGGATGGGGTCTTGGTTTTTGTTTGTTTTTGGTATATTTGAATAGAGCTTTATCTCTTTTGTCCATATGTATCCCTGGCCTCCACCATATGTTCAAGGATTTCATGTTCCACAGGAAGTGCTGATAGATTTTCTTGCCATTGATGATCATACATCTTTTTTTCTTTTCTTTTCTTTTTTTAGCATTTACCATAACTGTTGACTCATGTCACACCTGGAGAAAATAGGTATGACCCAGGCCTATGGGAGAGAAAATATCAATAATTTTGTTCGTTACCTTTCTAGGCAAAATCCATGTTTGGTGACCAGAGCTGTATATATTGATATTGTCTTCCTGTTGACTCGCTGCCTCAACAGACCCACCAAGGACAGCCCGCCAGGTATGATTCATAGTTATGTTTATGTCCCTATTTTGGAATGGTTGCAGGTCTCTGAAATGTAGAAGGTGTTGTGAGCGGCTCCGCCACATGCTCCCCCTGCTTCTGTAAGACTAGCCTCACATCAGAATCAGTGTCAGTTAGTACTCTCATAGAAGCTTCTCGGGGAAACCTGTCCTTGTTTACTTGAAAGTTTGATGTTTATTCTCTAGCTGGTCACTCGGGAACGAGTACAAACTTTACCTCAGATATCTTCTTTGTTTCTAAGACCTTGGCTTTTTGCTAGGTTATATATTTTCTTTGAAAGGTCGTCATTTTCAATAACAGAGTTCATTCTGTTCCATTCTGTGGCAGTGAGCTGAGCTCACTTGCTGCTGGAGCCTGGATATTTGACACTCTCTCAAATCTGCCCCTCCACCAGTGCATGTGTGAGTTACTGCCTCAAGTTCTGACTTCATGCATGTTTCCTGGTCATGTATGTTTCCAGTTATGGATTCTAGATCCACATACAATTGCTCTATTTTAATCATGATTCACAGAGAGAGAGAGAGAGAGAGAGTATGTTTGTGTGTGTGTGTGTGTGTGTGTGTGTGTGTGTGTGTGTGTGTGTGTGTGTGTGTTTAGGGAGAAGGGCAACTCCAAATAAAATTGTTTTGAAGTGTTTATGTAAGAGGCCACAGGAAGTGCTGTACATGAGTTCCAGGCCACCGACTGAAACTGATTTTCATCAACATAAACTGGAATGCAGGGTAATGAGCCTGCAACTGGTTAAAATCAACCTCTTCTAATTGATTAGGCCTGTCTCAAGGAGGCTACAATTACAAAGTCAGATTCTGAGCACACGCAGGCCAGGCCTTTCCTCTGTTGCATTTAGTCTGTCAATGATTTGTTGTCTTCAGTAAATATGTTCAGCCTGTCAAAGTCCAGCTCTGTCCATATGGAACCCTATTCCCAAATTCAAACCAATTTAAAATGCTTTGCAGGGGGACATGAGGGGACCTGGGGGGTGCCAAACCGCCTCACCCGGATTGATGTGTATTAGCCCACAAAGTCCCTATGGCCATGCAGAGGTAATAGAACATGCTAGACTTTCATCAGCTCCACATCCCTGGATAGGGGTAGCTGTTGTGTCACTTGGTAGTATGGGATCATGAAGTTTTATAAAACAGTCCCAGTTTATGCCCCTTATCCTAGCATTATTATTAGTAGTGCCCCCTTTTAGTCTTGAAAGTGACCAGGTTTTGCACAGTAAATCACAGGTCACCATAGCTGTAAGGGACCTCAGAGTTGCATCCACTTTAGTTTATACTTGACCACAGTACTGAGATGATAAAGAGATGATAACTCAGATGTTACCAAGTACATTGTTTTAAATTTTCCCCACTTCTGTATTTCACTTCCGATTTCCATACAACTCTATAATTCCTCTCTGCCTATGTATCTAAAGGACCTGGGCCGTAACAGAGTTACTGCTTACAAATCCATTCATTGGGAGTCTAACAGTTTGTGGTTGACTGTAATCATTCGTTTATTTGAACTGAGTTTTTCTTGGCTCATTTAGTACCATTATTCCTTGTCTAGAAGAGTTAACCCTCAAATGTTGTAAAATACCTCCCTCTTCCCAGCTACCCATCCTTTACTGTTGAGCTGGGCTCCGTGAGGATGACTCTGGCTTTTTTGGCCCAACCTTTCCTCCCAACTGTTAAAATTACATGTGATCATAAGCTATCTTTTATTCTCCACAGTATCTCACTTGCATTCATATATTACTTCTCTTAAGGTCATTACTTTGCCCAGTAAGATATGCCCAGTATCTCACTTGCATTCATATATTACTTCTCTTAAGGTCATTACTTTGCCCAGTAAGATATGGGTGGCCAGGGTGCTTGTCCTCTAATTCTAGTATGACAGCCATCACTCTAAAAATGTCATCCTGTGCTATCCAGTATGGCAGCTGCTAGCCACATGTGGCTCCTGAGCACTCAGATGTGGCTAGTCCAAATGGAGGTGACGCTCTGTAAGTATAAAATATGTGCCAGATTCCAAAGACGTAGGATGGAGAAAATGAGTGTAAAATTTCTCAGCCAGGCATTGTGGCTCACACTTATAATCCCAGCACTTTGGTAGGCGGAGCTGAGAGGATTGCCTGAGCTCAGAGGTTTGAGACCAACCTGGGCAACTTGGCAAGACCTCGGCTCTACAGTAAATCAAAAAATTAGCCAGGCATGGTGGCTACTTGGAAGGCTGAGACAGAAGGTTCGCCTGAGCCAGGAGGTCAAGGCTGCAGTGAGCCATGAGTGTGCCACTGTACTCCAGTCTAGGTGACAGAGTGAGACTCCCAACTAAAAAGAGAATAAGAAAAAAAATAAAATAAGAATGGGAAAAAATAAGAAAAGGTAAAATTGTCATTGAAATATGTATTTTGACTTTGTCAAATAAAGAAATTTGAAAAATTTTTAATGACATCATAAAAAAGATACATTAAGGTAACATTATTAATGATGAAAAGTTTGGCTATTTATATTTTAAATTACTATGTGGTACATATTTGTATTATTTTTGTTCCTCATATTTTTATTGGGTAGAACTGATTTTGTCTAGTCGTAGGGAATTGACCTCATAAAACCACTGTGTATTTGTGTGTGTGTGTATCTATATATCTATCTGTAGGAAAGTGTATATCCATGTAAAACATCAACACAAACAGGGATAGCAAATATCCTTCATTTGAGGATGGAATAGATTTTTAGAACTAAATATCAAATAAAATGACACGGTGGATAGCCCTGTTAGGGATAAAAATACACTGAGCTTAAAGTAGTGAAATCTATTCTTATGTCTTTCATAAACATGCAAAGGCAATTTGAACAATAGGTAAGTATATCGCCAAATAAGGTGATCACTTATTTGGATGTGTAGATTTTAGTATGCTTTCAAAATAATGATATATATTTAAGGTTTTACCTTTTTAAGCTCACTGAAAGAATGGACTGTGTCTTAGATTCTTTGTCACCCAACTAAGCACATAGCAGGCCCTCATTAAATTGATTTATTATCAACTGATTGATTGAAAGCCAGTTTCCTTAGTTTTAAAATAGTAACAGCTATTAAGATACAGGTCTCAAATGCATGCATCAGATGTGAATTCATTTTCTGAAGTCATATTACATGTACTTATTTGTTAATATATATGTATATATCTACCCCCATTATTAGTTCACAAAGCTCAGAGTGGGGAGTATGCCACATAGACTCTGAAGCCACATCTGTGGGTTTTAATCCCAAATTTGCCATTTACTAACTTTATGGTCTTAAGTAAGTTATTTAAACCTTTAAGATACTTTTTTTTAGTTGCAGATGGGGATGAGAGTATCTGTATCCTAGAGTGGTTGGCAACTTACACAAGTAAAACTGGGTGTAAAGAATGTACTTTGCATGGCACAGAATGTTAGCTATTATTCTTATTAGCTGGAAACCATGCATCTGAGCCAGTCCCTTGCAGCCTGGCAGAATTGTGTTCAATCCTTCACCTTCTCGGTTCTCCTCACATTCTCAAACATCTTCAGGAAAGAAGAAATGCTTGCTTTCCTGGAAAGTGCTGAAGTATAATACCCTGGGCACAGTGTGTCAGGAATTCACTTGAGTAGGGATGCCCCTGCCTCTCTGAGTCAGAAAAAGATCATTTCTTTTCTTGCTCTTTTAATTTTTCAACCATCAGACATTATCAAGCACTGATAACTGGAGATAGAGATGAGTATGTCTTGGGCTTATAAGTAGGAGTGATAAGGAATTTTTCAGATGCTACATGTAATGGAAGTATGTATGGGACACATTTGAGGTACTAAAGAAAGATAGGTCATTTCTACTGGCTTCCTGGAGGAGGAGGTGGTTGAGCAGAGTTTTGACGATGGGTAGGGACTCACCGCATGGGTGAGGCAGGGGTGGGTGTTACAGAAGGAGGAGGATAGCCAAGCCACAGGGGCACAGATCAGCATAGCCTTCAGACAGCTAGGACACCTGGAGTTTTGGGCTCGAGGCCAGGCAGGCTTGACTGGAAGTGAGGCTGGGAAAGCAGAAACTCAGTCTAAGGAGCTTGGATTTGACCCTTTAGTCAAAGGAGATTATTGGAGGATATAAGACAGAGAGTGGGATCACGTGGTTTTTAAGACAAGGTGACCTTCTCCTCTGCCCTCATCCTCATGGGATTCTTAGGACCCTATGGAACCAAGTTCCTGTTGCCACTCAAAAAGAAAATTTATTCACTGAATATTAGGGAGATTTGCCCAGTCATTTTGATAACCAATATTAGGGTTTTGGGAGGTAGGGGGTGGGGAATGGAGGACCAGAATAGAATTAAAGGCAGCATTGTGCTAAAAATCATGATTTTAGACTGGTGGGATTACAAGTGGGTGCCATGCTCTTATTTTCTGTTTCACTAATGATACATAATTCTGCTTGATTTGTGTGTGTGTGTGTGTGTGTGTGTGTGTGTTTATGAAGGGTACTTAACTATGAATCTTGAAGGGGATCAATTACCACAAAGGAAATGAAGTAATAATTTCAGGCAAGGTTTTTGGATGTAGAAGGATCTGGCCATCCCCTCTTCAAACCCTATTCTGCAAGTGACCGTGGAAGCCCATTCCCGCCTCTGAAATGTCTGAGAACCCCACTGAAGGTCTGGGGGCATAAACAAGGAGGAAAACAGAGAAGGAGAAAGGCAAAGAAGATGATTAGAAAAGCTTAAGATAATGATGTGTTTTGTGTAATTCAGACTTTTATCTTAGTACTCCCAAATCATTTGAGGTTTCCTCAGCCATTAACTAAGTTTTAAGAATTCCAAATCTGGGGTTTTATTTTGAGTTTTAAAGTGATTTAAACCCACAAGGACTCTCTGTCCCCTGTGTTCTTTTTCCTCTTCTGAATCCAGCTGTCATTATTAGTATATATCAGTTTCCTGCTGGAAAGAGAATTACAGTCTCCAGTTGGGAGAATGAGGAAGAAAA